TCTACAGGGCTGCCCAAGCGAGGCTCTGAACGGTGTACGCGACTGCCGCCAGAGCTTGTACTCTATCACTGGCTCGTGCAACCGAACGCACTGGAATAACAAATCAACAACACCATCACCACATTATCATCATCATGATCATCACCGCCACCACCCACCATCATCATCAGCATCATCATGGTTATCAGCAGCATCATTATAATCAGTTCCATCATCAGCAGCATCAGCATCAGCATCAGCATAATCAACATCATCGTCGTCATCATCATCATCATCATCATCATCATCATCATCATCATCATCATAATAAGCATCGCCATCGCCATCGCCATCGCCATCGCCACCATAATCACCATTATCACCATCATCATCATCATCATCATCATCATCATCATCATCATCTTCATCATCATCATCATCGAGGGAGGCGGAGAAGCTTCATGAAGCCTGGCTTAACAGCGGATATGCCGACCCCAATTCCCGACATGGGGTTCTATAGCATGGACGAAAATGTGGGGCCCAACTGGGCGATATACTATGGGTGGGGGACCATTCTCGATAGGGGTGCGTCCGAACAGACACCTGGGGGTGTATCCCTGAGTTCCCATCCGTTTCTGAAGGGGCTGTTTTTCCCATAACCCCAAAAAACATCGGGCTGATCGAATCCGGTTTGCAATTCGTTGCAAATCATGGGGGCATCCCATACCATATAGCTGGGTCTTGCGAGTCGCTGCCAATCGACGTTAGTCGACGTTAGATCGACGCTAATCGTCGCCAATTCGCGCTCTCGCGTGGGACGTCCTCACAATGTATATAGGAATCGCCCTCTCGCGTGGGACATCCTCGCAAGTTCTTCAAACGCCGCGCCTTCGACACTCAGGAATCACGCTCTCGCTGTGGATTGTATGACCAAGTCTTTTGGAATCGCGCTATCGGTCAAGACTCCCTCGCGATTCACAGAGGACGCACGCTTCGGCATTCCGCCTGCTCGACCTGGCCGCCCGGGCCCGCCTGCCCGACCCGCCCGGTTGGGTCTACCCGGCCGATCTGCCCCTCTGGTTCTGCCACGTGCGTTCTGCTTCTATTCCCCTATCCTGCCTCTCATGCTCCATCCTCCTTCCTCCCCCTTGTCCCTTCCTCTATCCGTCCTCTCTTCCCCTGCCTTAGGGGCTGCACGGAATACACGTTGCAGATCCGAAGGGCATGTACCCCCAAAAGAGCACGATCTAAGACCAAGAGGGAGAATATCGAGGGTTCGGGATATACGTGCTGAATGGCCCGCGAGCAGATAAGAGCGAACAGTCGGAACATGATGTTGTTATTGTGTTTGTTGTTGCTGCTGAACTTTCAATCCTGAAGGACACTTATTGTGTATCCCCCCGACCGGTGCACATTGTGTTTTTCAATTGGAGTGCCCCCCCTCGAGGCTCGAATTATGTATTTCTGTCAGGGAAAATGCTTCTGCTCAAACTGCGTTGTCGGCCCCCGGTTGACAACAACAGCGGCTCCCACCTGACACGTCCTCTCAAGTTGTTCCGACATCGCACGCTCGCGCGGGATTCCTCACAATGTATGCAGGATTCGCGCTCCCGCGGCAGACTTCCTCTATTGTATTCAAATGCCGCGCCCTCGACACTAAGACATCACGCTCTGGCTTTGGCCTTCCTCACGATTTGCTTGGAAATCGCGCTATCGCTCCAGTCTTCCTCACGACCCATGCAGGACTCACGCTGCGGCAACCCGCCTGCTCGACCTGGCCGCCCGGGCCCGCCTGCCCGACCCGCCAGACAGGGCCTGCCCGCCCGATCTGCCCCTCTGGGTCTGCCACGTGCTTCCTGCCCCCTCCTGATAACTTCTCTCGTGCCCCGCCCTCCCCCCTGCCTTCCATTCTCTGCTCCCCGGTGCACATGGGCTGCACTGCATGCACGCATCAGGCAGGGAAGATATACCCGAAGGGGGTACGATCGGAGACGAAAAAGGGGCGGGTACCGACGGTTGGGGATGTACGTGTGGAATGGCACGCGAGCAGAGGAGAAGTATCGAGCGGAGCCGTTGTTGCTGTTGTAGCTGGGGTCCAGGGGCACAGTTTGAGCACGAAGATCCTCCCTGATAAAAAACAGGTGCGAGCCGCGAGGGGGCACTTCAAGAGAATAAATACGATGTGCACCGGTGAGTGGGAGCAACGGTACTTGCTCTTCAAGTATGACAACTCAACAGCATAACAAGTCCAATACACGACGGGAGAGATAAATATACGTCCTGTAGCGGAAACCAAGCAACTAATTCTGGTTTAACAGAAAACTGCGGTACCTATTGAAAAACAAGTTTGCAACTGAAAGTTGGAAACCTCGAAGACACGCTCAAGGCGTGTCCCACGATGACTCAGCCAAGAGGCCTACTTCTTCTCCTCATCCTCCTCCTGATCCTCCTTCTCCTTCCTCTCCTCCTACTGTTTCGCTCCTGATGGCCCCACGCCGTGCCAGAATGCCACATCTGCTGGCCAGCTTCCCAGAGCGGGGGCCCGGGCAATCAAATGGCGCCACTGGGAACATCCTCGCGCTCGCGCGGGGTCTGCGACAACCGGCTAGCGCGAGGCCCGACGAGCGACGAACGTATCCACGCACTCCCGATCTGCCCTCTGGAGCGCGATCCCGTGGAGACGCGGTCGCACGGATGAGACCTGCGCGGGGCACCCGCGACAGAAGCGCGCCGCAGCCGCATGGGCCGCGAGCCAGGGGCCCAGGCTGCGAGGCGGTGGATGCGGAGACAGCTGCCGTGTCTCCTCCCATCGCCATCGCTCGGACGTCCATTCCCCGTGCTTTTTTCGGTGTCGTGCGTGGCTTTTTCGCTAAATGATCAAGGATGCTCCTTGATGGTCCTCGCCGATGGAAAAAACACACACGTCCGAGCGATGCCGAGTCCCCCGCCCATGAGAAACATGCGCGCCTGGCTCGCACTGCCAGGGCTCCCGCCCGCCCACCATCGACCATCGCAGATCCGTCGTCCTCCTCCCCACTTCGCCTCGCTCCAGCGCTCGTTCCCGATGCGATCCTGGCCCTCCCTCGCAGGGGACCATCCAGACCCCCCTGCTCTCGACCCTCCACCCCTCCCGTCAGCGGACGGACTGCCCGGAGTGAGCGGATGGTCAATGGCACGGACATTGGGAAGATTACGTGCACAAGAGGGGGGGAGGAGAAGGAGGAGGAGGAGGAGGAGGAGAAGGAAGGAGAATGAGCAAGGGGAGTAGGGGGAAAAGGGGGAGCAGGAGGAGGAGGAGGGGCAGCAGAAGGAGAAGGGGAAGGAGGAGGACGAGGAGGAGGAGGAGGAGGAGGAGGAGGAGAAGTAAAGGGGGGAAGAGGAACAGGAGGAGGAGACGGAGGAGGAGGAGGAGGAGCAGGAGGAGGAGGAGGAGGTGGTGGAGGAGGAGGAAGGACGAGGAGGAGGAGGAGGAGGAGGAGGAGGAGGAGGAGGACACCAGAATACAGAGGACGCATGCACCTGTCAGAGGAGATGGACGGGGCCGCGCGCCTGCCATCCGGCAGCCGCGGCAGCTGGCGGCTGCTGCCCGTGACCTCCCCCGGAGAAGGTCAGAGAAGCCTCAATTGAGCGGCAGTCAAGAAATTGAGCCTTCTCCTCCTCTTCCTCCTCCTCCTCTCCCTGCTCCTCCTCCTCCCCCTCCTCTCCTCCTCCTCCCCCTCCTCCCCTTCCTCCTCCTCCTCCCCCTCCTCCTCCTCCTCCTGCTTGCTCAACCAGTCCCTCTCCCCTCCTGGGCGACGATCAAAAATGGGTCCTACGCGAGATGGCGTAAAGACCTTACGCGGTGGCTTACGCGGGCCGCCCGCGCGGCACGCCATGTTTGAAGCGAGGGCGCTCACGCGCGACCTTACGCGGGCAGCTTGCGCGCCAATGTCGGCGCAAACGACCCCGTTGTTTTCGTCGATCTATTGCCCTTCATCGCCAGGATTGCAGTGGCAGACAGAGATGAGAAAGCTTCTCGGGCGCGGACGGCGTGCGAGAGCTGCATCGACCGACGTATGGGAAGACCACAGGACATCATGAAGGGAAGGACTGGGCGATGGATAAGGCCAGCCAGGCTCAACGTGACGGAAGGTGTAACAAAAAGGGCGGCGGGCACGAATACCACAAGAGTGGAAGGGAACGATCGATATAAAAACCATGGCAAGGCGCGACGCTTTGATAAATAAGTGCTCTGCATAGTATAGTTTCGAGGGGGCGCGAATCACTTCACATTCAACATGGCCATCGACATCGAAGTGCACATCGTCATCGCTCCCGTATCTCCTGCTCCATATGGCCGTCACCCTCAACCTCCAGAATCCCCTCCCGCGAGCCTCCATCTGCCAGTCCCAAGTCCCTTCCTGTTTGATCGTTGCGAAGTCGCGTTCGAAGTTGTAGGGCGTGATCATTACCAGCTTTCTACCATGCCCAAGGATGAACATTTGGAAAGGTCCGAACGAACGGTGGTGCTAGCCTAAATCTCATATCATCAATGGGCCATCATGACTATCGCGCTCGCCAAGCCGTTTCTGCAGTTTGCGTTCCACCTGAACCCCTGAACGTGATGGCATGACTATGTCGCCCGGCTTGCAACAGTTGTCGGGTGTCGGGCCGTTCCCTTGGCTTCACGTAAGTCATCCTTCTTGCGCAAACGGTAGGCATCAAGCCAAGCGATCTTTCACTTGTTGGGCCCAGTCCCTGCGCTCATGTTTGCCAACAGAACAGTGGCGCCAACCTCGGAAGTTCGTCTATGAGGTTCTATGGCACGTGCGCCCCTCCCCTCCACCCCTCCCTCACGCGCCCGCCCGAGCGCGGAGGCGGACTCGCACGCGCCAAGTTTCGGGTCTGTCTTCGACACCGACGCTGCCAGCCTCAAGACAGTAAACTCAAGTGTGAGAATTGCCCGACATTGCCCCACGTCGCATCGTTCCCACTTGTCACACCGAGGGCATGCTGATCATTACTCCGATGGCTCCACATGTGGCCCATTTTGGATGTGCGAATTCGATGGGCACCGCAATCCCGACAGCGCTGCCCACACCTAGAGGCATCGTGCTAAAACGATCCTCGCCTCAGAGCTGCGGGCGACCCGACAGCCACATGCAAGCAGAGATCTCAGCACCCGCCATGGCATGCCTCGGCCACTGCGTAGAGCATGGAGTGAGGTGCCACCTGCCTCAGAGGCAAATCATGAAAGGCGCGGGACGGAGAGAGACGAGCCGCAACCTGTGGCTGCACCTGTGCGGGGCCGATACGCCCGATCACTCAAGATAGTCGAAGTCGTCAGGCAAGTTGAACATCGTGTTGAACTGGTGGGACGAGACCTCTGGGGGGCAGCCAGAGGATCAGGGATAGACTCATTGAGCGGGATTTGACCTCCTCGATTTTCCCCCCACGCATGCCACTCCCCTTCCCCTCCTCCTCCCCATCCCCCATCCGATTCCTCATCCCCGCTCGTGGCTCCCTGCTCGTGGCCCCCTCCTCTTCCCCATCCCCTTCCTCTCCTCCTCCCCGTCCCCGCTGGTGTCGGGCCGGGCGAAAGGGGGGGATAGCAAAGGGGGGTTTGATAATCAGATCACGTAGCTGATTTTCCCGGCGCCTCTCGGCGCCAGGAGGCGGCCATGTATCGAGGAATGGGCCCCCCGGCGGGGCCGAAACCAGCTGCATGCAGCAGATTTCGTAACCCCCCCCTTTCCCTATCCCCCCCTTTCGTCCGGCCCGATGGTGCTCCCCTCCTCGTCTCCCCCACCCCCTGCCGACTCCTCCTCGTGCCCCGCGCCCTCCGCCTCGGCCCCCCCCCTCTCCGCCAGTGAAGGGGCACTAGGACACACAAATAAATACACACAAATAAAATTATTCCCCATATTTTCCTATATTTTCTGGGTTTCTGTCTTCCCCCCCAATTCCCATATTTTCCCATATTTTCCTGGGAATCGAAGATTGATTGTGTCTGTGTGTTTTTTTTCCCTCCTGAGCCAGGGCGGGCTGCGGGCACGCGCCTCGCCCCCTCGCGGGAACAACAACAGTTGCCGACGCGGTCAGCCGACGTCCGCGGCACCACGCCGGTGCCGAGAAGGGGCGCCGTGGCACTTCGGGGGAAACGACCCTGACCTTCCAGAGAGCTATTTTTAGCACTGGAAACCTAAAAACCTAAAAAACGAGACGAAACAGCCTAAAACCAAGACGTAAAATAGCTCTGGGATAGGTTTTTACGTCGGGTGCTATTTTTTAGCCCTCCTGGAAGGTCAGGGGAGAGGGGGGCATAGCAAAGGGGAGGGTAGAGGATCAGCTCGCGCAGCTGATTTTTCCAGGCGCCTGCCGGCGCCGGGAGGCGCCCACGTGTCGAGGAGTGGGCCCGGCGGCGGTGCCGTACCCCCCCCTTTCCCTATCCCCCCCTTCCGTTCGGCCCGAGCTTTCCGGCGCGCACGGTGCGGCCGATGGCCGCAGTCTTTTCCCAAACGGTTCGCGGGCGCCGTCGTCAGAAACACTGGGTTTCCGCAAAACCCTTTGGCCTCTTTGGGCCGCCGTCGTTTCTGGCCGCACGCCACGGTGATGATGGCACCGAGCATCAATGATTAGCCGGAACGAACTGTTTGGCGCCGTCGTGCCCGCAACGATGACGCAGGAGAGCCCAGAATCGAATCCATAAGTCGGATCGGCGATCGAAATGAATCGGATCGGCGGAAATCAGCTGCCGAATCGGGAAAAGTCGAATCGGCTGAAATCGGCAGGCCAGTATGCCTCCAATAAGAAATGGGAACCCAAATCGGAATCCCAAATCGAATCGAATCGGAATTGGAAGCAATCGGAATCGAATCGCATCGAATCGGAGGAATCGAAACGAGCCCTGGATGATGCATCCCCCTCATGCCGCCAACGTCGTGCATTCTTTCTGCTCTACTGGGCCCCAGGTTCCCCAAGGAGCTCTCGACCTGCTCACGGCGGTCCGTTCTCCGTCCCCCCGGCCGATGTCCGACGAGAGTCCGGGGGCCCGAAAACTGCAACGAGGCCAGGACGATTACGAATTCGGGTGAGGATATTTCGAGAATCCCGCAACTCTGGCGCCTCTGGAGAATGTCTCGGGCGACGCGGCCTTTTGTCAGAGGGTTCCGGAAAGCTCTGGGAGCGGAAGGCTCTGAACGCTCCGGGACGGATTGATCCTCGTCCCATCCCCGCCCCAATTCTTCGTCCCGGGACGATGTTTGACACGCCCCAGGGCCCGAAAATGGCCCCCAGGGGCTGAACATGGAGGCCGTTTCTCCCTGGACTTGACACAAGCCGGGACTCACTTGCACGCCTCCGCGGCCCAGCGCTGATCGAACAGGCCGCGGAGGAGGAAGGAGGGGGGGGATGCCGTGGAAGCAAACTTGCCCGAGTCCAAGGTTTGAGTTATGTTGTTCCCATCCTACTTAAGGACCGCATCCCAGAAATAATTTCGAGCACCCGGAAAAGTGTCAAAAGGGTGTCGAAATTCTTGGGCGCTCGAAATCATTCCTGGTGATCAGGGCTAAAATAAGTTGGAACATCAGAAAGTTTGAACAGGGAGCGACCGTCCCGGCAATCGTACAGGCCTGCCTCACCATGCTCCCAGAACAACAGGATGCTCTCCTCGCAAAACAACGGTTTCAGAAAATGCAGCCGATTGGTTGATACAAGATTGTCCCGGCCAAAACTGTTCAGAGGGCATTCCGCGCAAACCCTGCAAGATGTTTAGAACATTCTCTGATGGACCTATCAGCGAGTCAGGACGCTTCACCGCTGCCTGGAAAGCAACGTTCCTTCACAGCGAAAAAACACGGCATGTTCTGCGACAGCTCACGGGGGCCTCCCATTTCATCTTGCTGGCTCTTCCGGATCGACGCTGCGTGACGCTTGTCGGCGCCAACCGCCGCTGGCCGACGCAAGAGCGGCGCGAACCGACCCGGATCGACGCTGAGGAATCGGCCAGATCCCCTCGGCTACCAGAGAGGCCAGTCGACGCTTATATGAGCTCTTGAGACGGCCTTGCGAGGCTATACAAGGCTCCCAGGACGTGCTACCAATGTCTGGGGCCGCCAGAGGTCTTGGCAAGCGGCTTCCATAAAGGGAAATTAGGACACACAAATAAATACACACAAATAAATTTAGTCCCCATATGTTCCCATATTTTCTGGGTTTTTGTCTTCCCCCCCACATCCCATATTTTCCCATATTTTCCTGGGGATGGACGATTAATTGTGTCTGTGTGTTTTTTCCCCTCCTGATTCCAAAGGACACACGGCAAGGGGCCTCATGGCGAACGACGCCTGACTCAGCCAGCGGTCGCGGAGAGGGCCGGGCGGCGGTCGACCCGCGGCGGGGCGCGCCGAAGCACAGCGAGGCACGAGGGAGGCAGAGCGTGCCGAGGAGCGAGGCGGCCAGAGAGGGCCGGGAGGGCACGAGAGCCCAGGATCGAACCGAGAAGTCGGATCGGCGATCGAGGCACGAATCGCATCGGCGCACGTCGGCAACCGAGCCGGGAGGAGCCGGACCGGCGGGAAACTCCGCGGGCTCGCGGCCCTCCCAATGAGACCTCGGAGCCCAAGCCGGAGTCCGAAACCGAAGCGGATCGGCATCGGACGCCATCGAACTCGAGTCGAATCGGAGCGGAGGCGCCGAGGTGCGCCGGGCCAGCCCGAAGCCGAGGCGCCGGCACCGGCGTGCGGAGGCGCGGCCGGTGCGAGGCACGCGGCCGCCAGGGACCATTGGCGTAGGGGGCCGCACGGCGAGATAGGGGCGCGGCGGCACGGCGGCCAGGGCCGCCCGGGAGGGCTGGGCGAGCGGAGGCGCCGAGGCGGGCCTCGCCGCGCCGCTCCCGCAGGAACATGGAGCGCACGGCGCAGATGTTGTCCGCCCAGCGGTTGGCGGCCTCCTTCGCGACGGCGGTCTGCGTCCTGATCTCTCCCAGCTTCCCTGGCCTCGGCTGCGCCGAGAAAGCATGAATACAGACGCCCGGCGACGGAATGTCGCTATACATATCTTCGAGGAGGGGTGGCGATGAAGAAAGTCGCTGGCTCTGGTGGCGATACTTGCTTTGAGTGTCGGTTGCTGATGCCTCATTTGGTGCAAGCTAGTGCGGCATGTCACTTGCATCTGTGTATGGTACATGCTGGTGGTGCATGTTATTGAAATGTGCTACTGTTGTCGGGCCCTGGTGTATGAGATAGCTGCCCTTTCGGTTGTGCATGCTCTTGCATATGGACGGATGTTATGAGTGTCTCCTCTTACGATATGTTGCTCTCTACGATTGGTGCATGTTCATGTCAGGTCTTGGTGTGTCTTGTGGTGTGTGTGGTAGCGGCGTCTTTTCTCAACGTGTGTTATTGATGTCTGTGGCTGATGCATGTGAACGGCGTGGCGTCCTGAAGCCCGTCATGTCTGTTCAGTGGTGGATCGCTTAGATAAGCTCAATGCTAGGGGCTGGCGGGACGGAAGACTCAAGGACCAGCGGGGCTATTAGCACTCGGCGGCCTCGGTATGCCAGGCTGGCGGGCAAGGCGGGGCACCCAGAAACTACACACAGCGGCCCGGCGGCCGCGGCATGCAGGGCTGGCGAGCGAGGTGGGAAGCGGAGGAATCATCGGGACTACTGGGGCCGGACGTCCGCGATACGCAGGGATGGCAGGCGAGCGGGAAACTCAGGGACAGTCGGGACTACTGTGGCCTGGCGGCCGCGATCTGCTGGGCTGGCGGGCGGGCTGCATTTTCAAAGCGAACAACCCAGCCTGCCAGGTGGGGAGAAAAGTGGCCCCGAGGGGCGGGGTCGAGATATCCAAGCGTCGTGAGAGACAACGTCGGGGGTCTTGGGACGCGGCATGCTGCTGCCACCCTGAGCTTCATCTTCCGTTCGCACCTGGCCTCGCACGGTCTCCGATGGCCCTAGCAGCCCCAGCACCTGTGCAGCCAGTCAGTCTCGCGTGCCCAGTCTGACACGCGCGCATGGCTACACCTGACCGCTGTGCAGACACAGACTCTTGAAGCGCTGGTGGACGGCCTCATCCTCCTCCTACTCCTCCCCCTCCTCCTCCTCCTCCTCATCCTCCTCCTGCAGCCCTCCGAAGGCCCACAAGAAGCCAACGTAGCTTCGAAAGTTTCAAGGGCGGGAGAACTCGAATGCTCACCCTCCTAGCGGGAGGGAGATGGGGGGTAGATCATTGCAGAAGCAAACCTACGGTCCTGTGCAAGTGCTTTCGTGGTCGGCAGTGACGGGAGGAAGTAGGAGGAGGAGGAGGAGGAGGAGGAGAAGGAGAAGGAGAATGAGGAGGAGGAGGAGGAGGAGGAGGAGGAGGAGGAGGAGGAGGAGGAGGAGGGGGGGGGGAGTAGTATATGGCTCGACGGGGCTGAGGAGGACGAGGACGAGGAAGATGAGGAAGAGGAGGAGGAGGAGGAGGAGGAGGAGGAGGAGGGAGGACGAGGAGGACGAGGAGGAGGAGGAGGACGAGGAGGACGAGAAGAGGGGAGGAGGAGGGTAGTGGGAGGAGGCTGGACCAGCAGCGAACGCAGGCGGGACGAGGGCAGGGAGCCGGGCCGCCGCGCGGAGCTCGGATCGGGCAGGCCGGGCGCCGCGGCCCCAGGCGCTCGAAGGCCTCGATCTGCTTCCGCAGCGCGTCCCGCCGCTGCCGCTCCGCGGCGGCCCGCGCGCGGAGCTCGGCCAGCTCCCGCGGGCTGGGCACGGAGCCTTCGGCCTCTCGGCGCGTGGCGTCGGCGGCGGCGGCGGCGGCGCCGACGACGACGACGACGCCGGCGCTGACGGCCACGACGGCGGCGACGACGACGACCAGACGACGGCGACGGCGAGGGCGACGGCAACGTCCCCCGAAGGTGACCCTTGCGGTGCGGCGGCGGCGGCGGCGGAAGGCCGTGGGGACCTTCAGGGCGGCAAGCTGCGCCTTCAGCTGGTCGTGCTCCTTCGCGAGGCCCTCGGCCTCCTGGGGACGGCGCGCGCGATCGCGACGCCCCGGAATGAAAAACACCGTCTCTGCGTTCCTCTCCTCCTCGCTCACCCTCCCCATCCTCCTACACGTACTCTAATAGATGCTTGTCCTACTGCTACTGCTACTGCTACTGCTACTGCTACTGCTACTGCTACTGCTACTACTGCTACTACTGCTGCTACTACTACTACTACTACTACTACTACTACTACTGCTACTGCTACTGCTACTACTACTGCTACTACTGCTACTGCTACTGCTACTACTGCTACTACTGCTACTGCTACTGCTACTACTGCTACTACTACTACTACTACTACTACTACTACTACTACGACTTCTACTACGACTACGACTACGACTACGACTACGACTACGACTACGACTACGACAACGACTACGACTACGACTACTACTACGACTCCGACTCCGACTCCGACTACGACTACGACTACGACTCCGACTACTACTACTACTACTACTACTACTACTACTACTACTACTACTACTACTACTACTACTACTACTACTACTACTACTACTACTACTACTACTACTACT